CATGAGTTTACCCTGTATAAGCTTTATGCAGGGTAAAACGGATTTATTTGGGTTTAGACCCCAGTGGGAGTTGGGCATCTGAGTGCTAAAGACAAGCACACTACTGTTTTCAGGTAAACTTGCAGCTTTGGGACAAGTGATTCAGACCCTGGGTCTGTGTCTGGAGCCAGACGGGAGTGGCTGGCTCAGCAAGACAGGGTGCTGGAGTCCTGAGCTGGCAGGGAAAACAGAAGCAGGGGTAGTCTTTGCACATCGGGTGGCAGCTCCCAAGGGGGTTTCTGTGATCTAACCCGTCACACCCATACCTTACTATATTTGGATTTCTTTGAGTTTAACCATAGCTCTGAATTTCTGGGCTGATAATGCTTCGTTTTGACGTAATTGCAACATCGCTATGATGCTTTTGCCCTAAAGTACTGAGATGTGCTCTCAACCTCAGCTCCGTCTTCATAGATTTTTTGTCTAGGAGTATTAATTAGGGTAGTGCTGCCAGAGAGTGGCCTTTAGAGTTCTACAATGCAGCATATTTACCCTCCTCTTAGTATGGCGATGCAGCTCACAGAAACGACAGGTGCAATGCATCCATCAGCTCCCATTGATGTGAGTTGGAGCCAAAAGGTGGCTTTAGAAGCCTACTTTTTAGGCTCATGGGTGTTTTGTTTTTTTCATTCTTGACCATCTAGTAGGAATAAGTTATTTTTCAGCAATAAACAACCCGCGAGGGACTTGAGAAGAGATGAGAGAGCACTGAAAAGCCATTCTTTTTCTTCTGTAGCCCTTGGCTCAGCTGGCTAGTAGGATAATGCCAAACCTTCATGGAAGAGGACTCCACAAGTAAGTAAAATGGTAATTAGCTTCCTAACAGACTCCAGGGGCAATATTACAGTAGTTGGATCTATTACAGATATTGCCTCACCCACCTTGTCTCGCTAACATCCTATTAAACAGTCGAAATGGAGTTGTAAATGACAAGTGGAAAGATGAAAGTCTTTTCTCCCCCCCTGTGTGGGGACCAGTAGCACTCGGTGAAGAGAATGTGTGATGGTGAGTGAATTTAATCTCTTGAGCTCTACCACTCTCTTTGGCTGTTAGTGATACTTGAACATTATCGGTAAATACGGTGGTGATGAAGGTTGCAAATTAATAGGAATGGCGATAATCACATACACTTTCCGCAAATATCTGTGCCGAGGCCCCTCAGTTCTGATCTGTGAGACCCCTTCTATTTTTATTTTGTTTAATAGTTAGGACCCAGAGTCTCCAGTCAGGATGTCCCCATGACCCACAGGAAGTCACCATCCCCAGTGCATTGCTTTTCATGGTCTTCCACAAGAAATGTTGCTGAGTCTTAAAGACTGAAAGATTCAGGCTACTTCTAATTTCTGGAGGTAGTATGTTCCACAGCTGTGGGCCCTTTCATGGAGCAGGCTCTGTCTCTATCCCCCAAGCCTGGGGACTGTCAGCTTCACTAGCCATGTAGCGCACAGTGGCTGCAGTGAAGAACAAAGGGAGAGAGGGTGTCAGAACTCACAAGTCAGCCGGTGTATCAGTAACAAATGGAAAGGGACCAAATGATTTCTTGCAGGAGGTCAACTAGATGATCACAACGGTCACAGGTGATGATTTTTATTTTTCCCGGTGGGTGCTGCACCCCTGCTCTGCCTTCAGGCCCTGCCCCCACTCTGCCCCTTCCCCCGAGGCCCTATCCCTCTCCGCCCCCTCCTCTGAGGCCCCACCCCCGCCCTTCCCCCACCTCCGAGACCACCCGCCCACCCTCTGCTTGCTGCTCTCCGCCCTCCCCCAAGCGCCTCCTACCAGCAGCCAAACAAACAGCTGATAGGCGGCCCCGCCGAACAGCTGTGGCTGGTGGGTGCTGACCACGCACTATTTTTTGGGTGGGTGCTTTAGCCCCAGCGCACCCATGGAGTCAGCGCCTATGACAGTGGTCCCTTCTGACAGTGACCCATCCTTGTTTAGTGCCATGCAGCAAGAATACCCTTACCAGGAAGCGTCATCATTCAGCCGTTTTTTGGGTCATCTTACAAAATTTGTAGACTGAGAAAATGTGAAGGGCAGGAGCTGAAGTTCTTATAGGATGAGATTTTCAAAGGCACCTGAGGCCAAATATTTGGCAAGATTCAAAAAGGGATTGGACATGTAGCTGGCTACCCAGGATTAGAACTAGACTTGAGATTGGTGTCGGTAAATGTCAGTACACGTTGATTTCACTGGCCACACACAAACTGACAAAAATAGATTTCCATTGATAATCATCAAAATGTACAGATAGGCAAAGTAAGAAAAATGCTACTTGAGAACTCCAGTGATTTAGACTTTTGAATTAGCCTGGTTACAAATGGACAAGCCAATGAATAATTAAAAAAAAGGTATGTGTGACTCTATATGATTTCATGAAAATATGCTAATGAGTTTAAATATAATGTAACTGGACTATGCTTCATGCCAAAGGCCTCTTGTAAGGTATCATTACAAAGCTTATAATCTACTGAGTGTGGTCATACTATTTGTATAAATGTACCACTCTTGTATCTGAAACTAGAAATATGAAATATAACTCTGAGGGCCTAATGTAATTATGCAAAGTCTGGGCCATTAATGGTGGTTTGGAATCTTGATGACTCCCATTAACTAGGACAATTGTCTGCAGATGGCTCTGTCTTACTTGTATGTTTTCCTGTATACGTGTGTGCTGGCAAGTGGGTAATGAAGTCTTACAGTGACATGTGATTATGTCACCTGAACTGGAATCCATCTTTAACCTGGTGCTTTTCCATTGAGAGGGAGGAGGTGGGAACCCAGAGAGGGACAAAGGATTCCCGCCTTATGCAAGATATATAAATGGGTGGAACAGAACAAAGGGGGCTGCAATCATGAGAACTCCCCTAGCTACCACCTGAGCTGGAACAAGGGCTGTACCAGGGGAAAGGATTGGGCCCAGACTAGGAAGGCATCCAGTCTGTGATAGAAACTTATTGAAACGTCACTCAGGGTGAGATTTTATCTGTACTCAATTGTATTACTGTATTAGGCTTAGATTTGATTGTTTTGTTTTATTTTATTTCACTTGGCAATTCACTTTGTTCTGTCTGTTACTACTTGGAACCACTTAAATCCTACTTTCTGTATTTAATAAAATCACTTTTTACTTATTAATTATCTCAGAGTATGTATTAATACCTGGAGGCGGGGGGCGGGGGGGCGGGGAGACAAACAGCTGTGCATATCTCTCTATCAGTGTTATAGAGGGCGGACAATGTATGAGTTTATACTGTATAAGCTTTATAGAGGGTAAAGCGGATTTATTTGGGGTTTGGACCCCATTGGGAGTTGGACATCTGAGTGTTAAAGACAGGTACACTTCTGTAAGTTGCTTTCAGTTAACCCTTTTACAGCTATTAGGGGACGTGGTTCAGACCTGGGTCTGGGTCTGGGTTTGCAGCAGGCTAGCGGGTCTGACTCAAACCAGGCAGGGCACTGAAGTCCTAAGCTGCCAGGGTAGGAAAGCAGGAGCAGAAGTATTTTGGCACATCAGTTGGCAGCCCCTAGGGGGTTTCTGTGATCCAACCCGTCACAGTATGATTTGTTGATTTAAAGATATTTACTTTGGCTATTTTGACATGTGATGTTGACAATTTGTGTTTTAACAGTTTTAACTTCTGGATTCTCAATGTCTACGCCCAGTAAATACTTGTCTGAACCACTCCTATAATTTCCTGCAACAGTGAACATTGAAATCAAGAAAAATAACCAAAAATAATGGTAAAATCTCATCATTTTGTGCAACTGTAAACATTTAAATCAATGAAAATATTAAAATGGTTTAAAATAAACTGACAGCTGTCAAAATTATATATTAAAAAAAGATTTCGGACAAGCGTGACTATAACAGACAATGCTACTGTAAATTGCGGAGGAGATATTAGACCTCATGCTTCAGGGCTTAAACCGTCTCTACTGTTAGGGATTAGAAGGAGATCTCATGTAGATGGCAGATTATCATTTACCTACTCTGACAAATTGCAGCTTCCTCTCAGGTTTCAGAGTAGCAGCCGTGTTAGTCTGTATCCGCAAAAAGAAGAACAGGAGTACTTGTGGCACCTTAGAGACTAACAAATTTATTAGAGCATAAGCTTTCGTGGACTACAGCCCACTTCTTCGGCACTCTCATTCTGGCTGTTGTTGGAAACAAGATATTGGACTAGAGAGACCAGGAGTTGGATCCAGTCTGGCCAGTCCTATGTTTCTGAAAGGGTTCAGTGCCTAATTCCTTTAACCACCTTCAAAAATGTCAACCTCAAATGTTTGGATACGCTCTTGCATCCAAATGTTGGAGTGGAGGGTGTATGTGTGTAACGTTGGGAATTTGTTTTGGCTCGGAAGAAGGTCCCAATATATTTCTGTCTCCAGCTTTACCTGCAGAATCACAGACATTCTAAATCAAAGATGAGAAGGAGTTGGAAGTTGTCCAGTGAACAGCTGTAGTTTATTACCAGGATAATTTTGGGTCTCACTCAGAAACCCACACTACAAAAACAAATAAGAAAAGTTAGTTGTAGAAGGAAAACCGGCAAACTGGACCAAGCTCTAGAAGCCACTACTAAATATGTATCACATATAGAACAGTCTTTTATAATTTAATAGAGAATAATATGGTTTTTGCCTAACCCTCCTATAGAATTCTATAGCAAGGGGATATAATTGTTCCATTCTACAGGATGGCTTAAATTTTTGTTTGAAAGCACATCTTTCTCTATTAAACTCCGTATGTATTTAGGGTCACTTCTACAGGACCCTATGGAATGTTGAATGACCCTTATCGGATTTCTCTCTCTTACATTTTACAGGATTTTTCTAATTGCTTATTGTCTCTGAAGAAATCCCTATTTCCTAGGGAAACTAAACACGACACACCTATTGTTTCACCTGATCTGCTTAATTCAATCCAGGTATTTTGAGGCCTCTCGGAGGATTAACAATTCTTTGTAGAAGGTCTAAGGGGCATTTGATGAGACACACAACTGCCAAAGCCATCTCTAATTTAAACTGCTGCCATAGCTGAAGGAGGGTGTGTCTTGCTTAGTTATAGTACAGCGGCACTCATTTTCTTTTTGCAGTATTAATGGGGTAATATAAAATTTTCCTGGTGCCACAGGTCTGTTAAAAGGCACAAAGCTATTTTGTGCAGTAGTGACGTAGTGCTCCTTGGTATGTCTGGACAGTTAGTTAGCATGCAAACTATGCAGTCATATGAGATTTATAGAGAGACAGATTGCTTCGTCTCACCTGCTGATCTGAAATACAATGGGAAAATTAAACATTTACAGTCATAAAACAGTCCAACAGCAACAGGTAACTACCTGAAAAGTGCAACAGATTCCAGAAGAACTACCAATGGTGCTTCAAGCAAAGAGGAATCGCAGGAAACACTGTGGAGGAGAATAGCATAAATAAAGGAATTATATGCAAGAAAATGTCACTCATGTGCCTTATTCTGCAAGCAGCATATGAAACCACATCATCATGGGCAAATCAACCAGCCACCAGGAAAAAAATCAAAACCCTCCTTGGGGAGTAGGAAATAGATAACAGGAATCCCATCTGCATGTCGCCAAGGAGCTGCAGCTGAGAGAGCCCTCAGTTTGCAAACATTAGATCGTACCTAGAATGCCGGCAAGATCCCAGAGCTGGCTCCTTTAGTCAGTTAGTTGGGTGAGATGGGCACATGCATGTCTAAATGCTGGTTTGGGCTCCTGGGATGTAGTTATTCTAGTTCCACTCTGAAAAACTGTTTCCACTGACACCTGTTCAAAGCCCCTGTCTTCAGATTCTGCTCTGAGTCACTATGTTCCCATGGTAGTGGGTTTAAAAAAATATTAGGGGGGAACTTTGCAAATAAAAAAATTCTCCTTTTTTAAAAATGTAGAATTTGACAAAATTAATTTAAAAAAAAAGTCAACCCTGTCTAATGCCCACTGTCTTCAAGTAACACCCTTAACTTTATTTCCCATAGTCTTTACTGAAGCTAGCAAAAAAAAAAAGGGGGGAGGGGGGGGAATTTCATGGGAATTTCCCTAGTTTTAAAAATCTGAAATTGCAATATTTTGAGCTGCTTTGTAGGCGAGTAAAACATTTCATTGAAATTTTGCCTGTTTTTTTTTTTCAGTTTTGAATTTTTTTTTGAAAAATGCACAACATTTCAGCCATCTCAAGTCATTGGTAGGTCTGTACAGGTGTAACTAAGAACAAAATTTGGCCCTGCATTTGATACTGAGTTAACAAGTCCGTTGATGATGCATAAGCTACAACAGAATCCAGATTCAGAGCTGTATTGGTTCTACAGGGCTAGTAGCACTAAAAGAGTTGTAAAAAATGGTGTCAGTAAAGAACGTAGCACTGAGGCTGAGTACACAGAAGTCTTATCTGGCCTAGTGCAGTGTGTCTCAACCATTTCAGGTTGGCAACCCCTTCTTCGGTGTCAACATTTTTTGCAACCCCTAGCATTCACTATAAGAGTTAAAAGAGTATCAATGATCACTATGAGACGCCCATATCGTTTCGTTTTGTGGGTGTTTCAAGAGATTTTCAGAAATACTTGACCTTGAAGGGGAAAGGTATGTAGGGTAAGAAGTTTTTCTTTGTTTTTGATTGTAATAAAATCTGACAACCTCCCAATGGTCTTTCATGACCCCCTGGGCATCACAACCCACCAGTTCAGAAACAGTGCACTAGAGAATTGAGCGGCTGTTTCTTGAGCCAGTGGGCTAGCCACACCAGTGGGCGTAAAAACAAAGTCGTTCTGATGAATGAGAAGTTGCTGTTTTCATGACATCGCTTTTCCAAGTGGAGCTGCCGTTTAAGGCTCATAAATCCACATTTAGGCCTGATCTTCGGAGGTGGTAAGGCCTAACACTCACATTGATTTTAATGGGATTTTTTGGAGGCTGGACATATCTGAAAATCGGGCCAAATTGAATTAAGTGCCTAAATATGGATTGTAGGAGCCTTATGTAAGCACCCAAGGTTGCACATTTTGGCCTCCATAGATAAACATTGCAATTCAGACACCTAGGCCCTGATCCAGCAAATCACTTCAGGTCTGTTCCAGAGCCCGCTGAAATCCATGGAAGGACTCCCATTGACTTCATTGGTCTTCAGCTCAGGCCCATAAAAACACGTGCTTACCTTTAACCACAGGAGCAGTTACGCATGTGCTTCCAGTGCTTTGCTGGAACAGGGTTTTAATGCACCAGAGCCTTGATCCTTAGAGGTATTTAGCATCTAAATACCTTTGAGGATATGGACCCAGGTGATCAGACGATGGATTTAACACAAACGGAGTCATTTTTTTAAAATGAAGGACCTAGTTCCTCACTATTACTTTGGCTTTAGCCACTTTAACAACGTCACTTTCAACAGAGTTCTACTGGGGTAAAGTGAAGTGACGTATAGATGAAGGATACCCAATAAAATATAACAATTCTATAATATTAAAACTCTTTAACCAGGTGATAAGCATTAGTGCACCTGATTAGCAAGCTCATGTATACACTTCTACATGTCTTTAGAGGATGACTCCTTGAGCAGGTAAAAGAGGGTGGGTGAGATCTTGACCCCACTGAGGTCCAGTGCAATCATCCCATTGGCTTCAGTGAGGCCAAGATTTTACCCAGTGTTTTTTGAGGAGACTCATGTCTGAGTTTGGGTTCCTCTATTCAGCCCATGTGAATTCCCAGGAGCCTTAGTTGCCTTCTAGCTCTAGAGATGACAACTTTACGAAAACCAAACGGCAAGAACTTCCAGTGATGACCCTGTTTTGTGATGAGATTCTAATCCCATGACACACTTGTCTACCCGGCTAATGATGGCAATTAGCAAGGGAGGCGAGAAGGAGGATCTAGGAGTTTTATGGCATGAGTAAGAGGGATGTTTTATGGCAGTAATGTTAGGAGGAGAACAGCAATAGGGGAATGTGTGACAAGACGGATTCTGGCCAGGACAGAGCTGAAGAACTGACTCTGAGACAGGATTCCACGATATACCCCCTGCGCCAGGAACAGTGAGGTGCTGAAGTGAAGGTTCATCTTTAAAAGGACTGTCTTGGACGCTGCAGTCACACAGTAATGGAGGTGGATGTCACCTTTTTCCAGTTTGCCTGAGTTTGGGGTAGGAAGGAGGGACGAGCAATAAAGAAGTGACTGCCTTTTTTTTCATATATACAACCCAAGTTGACACTGGACAAACATGTAAATACAATCCAGAGGCTACAGACAGTTTCTCAGTAATAGCCGCATCGTGTGTATATACTAAACGACACTATCTGATCAATTGCAAATTATCCCCCAGGCGACCCAATAGATCTCTGTAGGCATGCTTTCCTCAGCAACAGCTGTGTTAGCACTAGATTTACACAATCATATTCTAGCTTGCCAGAGCATTCCCATGTCCCGTCAAATATTTGTAAAAGACTTATACACTGGGCAAATGAAAATCCACAGGCATGAAAAAATAGCAGCTAATTAGAGGGAGCTGGTTCCTCTCCACAAGTATTGCTATTGTCTCTAGAGCGTAAACTTGAATGAAGTTTGTAGCATGTCGGGTTGTGCAGCTAGCCTGAGACAACAACACTGAAAGGAGGGTGAGATTCCCACTTTCATCAGAAATGATGTTATGTTATGTTAACATTGAAGCCTAATGAAGCCACTTAAATGCCAATTTTATTAACCATTTGACTGCTGATCAGTGCACCATCGAAGGGCAGTGAATTTCTCTATCTTCTGTTGCTGGTCATGGCTGTCGTGTAGCGAAGCTGTTTTCCACTGGAATGACAAAAGGTGGCAAATTCTGAATGGGTGCAAAGCATTGGGTGCAGCGTGTGGCTTTCCAGCCTGGGGTAGTAGCAGGAGAGAGATTTGCCATGTGATAACTGCATCAGAATGACCCTCTTGTGCCAGACACTGATATCTGACATTTCATGCAGGAGTAGTGTAGGCCAAGTAAACAAATAATAACAGCCCTCTTCCTTCCCCACAGAACCTCTACAGATCTAGGGGTGGAGGATAGTCCCCCTGTCGGCCAATATGCCCTGCGGTTTCCTCTGGTCCCTCCTTATAAATGAATATGGTAGATGATTCTCACAGTGTCCTTTAAACATGGGGCACGCGTATAAAGAAAAAGTTGTATGCGTATTGGTCACAGAAAACCAGATTCCCAGGGGTGAGCGAACAAACCGCAATCTAACCGCATGAAGCTAGGCAGATTCACATGTGCTGAAGATCTGGCACTGTTTCTCGGGTTCTCATGCAGTTAGCTATACTTTGAGGTGAGGCAGCAGTGGTTATAAGAACACTGGCCAGCTGGCTAAACGCCTCACTGTGGTGGCAGCCTATTTAAACATGTTCAGCGCTCTTTTCCTTTTCAGACATCCTGCGAAGGCAGAAATCCTTCATTTTCAGACCAATTTCTTCCCCATTTTGGAACATGAAACCTGGAGTTAAATGGCTGAGGGTTTCGAAGAATTGCTTAGTGGTTTGGGACTATACATGTTAGTCTACTTTAATTTGCACTTTCCCTTTTCTTTTAAATATAACGTGTGAAAAATAAACCACAAATATATACATTGGATAATTGGTCCTGAGCATCTGGCTTTAACAAGATACTGTCAAATAACTGAGTCCGCCACAAATTGCCCTGTTTAAAAACCGATATGATCTAGTCAGAAAAGTTTGCAAGATGTTTAAGATCATTTTGGTTTTTTTAACTCCACCACTCAAATCCCATGTTTGGGAAACCCACAGCAAAAGTTTTCTGCTCCATCTGTAGTCATAGTAAACTGCTAATAATGGGTTGAGATTTTTTCGAACACATTTTTTTAATGAAAAAAAATGGCTTTTTTTCAAACATTTTTTGTGACACTGTGTTTTCAAAATTTTTCATGAAATGTTTCAACATTTTGTCAACTATTTTTCATCTCTCACCCCATCTCCTTCACCCCAACCCCCGGCCCTTTTCAAAAATTAACATTTTTCATTAGGTTGGGAGGGGAGGAGTTAAAAAAATCCTTAAAAATTTTTGTAGATATGAAAAATGGGTCCATTTCAAATCCTGCAGAATGAAAACAACTTCAGAATATTTTTGTGAAATTGTTTTCTCATGATTTTTTTTAATGGATCTTTTAACAAACACACTGGACCTCAGTCCTGCCTACTCTTAAAAATGTTCCCAATATAACTATTTTGGTTATAAATAGGGAAAACTTTGAATTACTACTCACAGGGCATAAAGTTGCATATGTGCATGTCTTTGTAGGATCAGGGCTTTCTGCTGTAGTAGTAGTGAGGCTCAACATAAAAAATTCCATGTTGAATCACCTCAAACAAAGCAGTTGCCCGAAATGGGATGTTTTTAAAAAAACTGATATTTCTCAAAT